TGAAACACATATTCACTCAAAAAGATCTCAACATGCGTAAGAGACGATAGATTGAACTCCTCAAAGACTACGATTGTAATATTTTGTATCACGCGGGTAAGGGCAACGTGGTAGCTGATGCACTCAACAGAAAAAATACAGGTATGTTAGCTCACATAATGGTTTCAGAATGTAGGGTAATAAAGGCTGCACAACATATATGACTTCAGGACCTGAAAAGAGTTACATGTTTGGCCCACCTGACTGTTCAACCTGAGTTGATCTAGAGAATAAAAGAAGCTCAATCTGCCGATTCCACCCTAACAGCCCTCAACAGATGCAGAACAAGGAGTAAATTCAGAATTTTAAGTCTCTGTCGATGGGTTGCTTAGATTTCAGGACAAGGTATGTGTTTCATATAACAATGAGTTGAAAAAGGACATCATGACAAAGGCTCATAGCTCAAAGTTTATCATACATTCCGCAAGCACTAAGATGTATCAAAATATGCAACCTTAGTTTTAGTGGAAAAAGATGAAAAGATAGGTGACCGACTTTATTTTCAAGTGTTTGGTGTGTTAGTAAGTTAAAGCAGAGCATCACCGTCGAGGTGGCCTACTTCAGTCATTACCGACTCCAGAGTGGAAGTGGAAATACATCACAATAGATTTCGTGATAGGATTGCCTAGGGCACGGTTGGGACATGATACAATTTGGGTAATTGTTAACCGGCTCACTAAGTCTTCTCACTTCTTGGCCATTAAGGTGACCGACCTTTTGAACAAGATAGCAAGAAGGTATATTTAAGAGATAGTCAGGTTATATGGAGTGTCAGTGACAATAGTATCCGACAGGGACTGTAGGTTTACTTCTCGATTTTGGTTTAATTTTCAGCAAGTAATGGAAACGAAACTGTCTCTTAGTACCACATTCTACCCTCAGACCGATGAACAATTAGAAAAGACAATTCGCACACTAGAAGATATACTTCGAGCTTGTGTTCTTGATTTCGGAGGCCATTGGGATGATTGTTTACCCTTAATAGAGTTCGCCTACAATAACAGTTACCAAACAAGTATCAGCATGACTCCGTACGATGCATTATATTGTCGTCCATACAGATCGTCGATATGTTGGAAAGAGGTGGGTGATAGAAAATTCTTCAGCCCAGATTTTATGGAGGAGACTACAGTAAAAATAGTTAAGATCATGAAAAATATCCAAACGGCTAAAAGCAGAAAGAAGAGTTATGTGAACACCCGGAAGAAAGATTTGGAATTTGAGAAAGGTGATCGAGTGTTCATCAAGGTCACCCATTTCAAGGAAATCAGTAGGTTTGGCAAAATGGGAAAATTAAATCCCAGTTTATTAACGCATTTGAGATCTTAGACAGAATTAATACCGCCGCCTACAAACTAGCACTACCTACAGAACTATCCAGAATCCATAATGTGATTCATGTGTCCATACTACGCAAATACAACTCGTGCCTCTCTCACATCTTGGCCCATGAACCCCTTTCATTCCAAAAGAATCTGTCATATGAGGAGGTATAAGTGGATATTGTTGACCGAAAGAGCAGAGTACTCTACAACCATGAAATTTTCTTTGTTAAGGTATTATAACAGAATCACACACAGAAAGAGGCCACATGGGAGCTAGGATCAGACTTCAGAACCTAATATCCCCAATTGTTTGATTGAGTGAGAGGGAGACAAATTTGAGGGACCAAAATTCTTTTAAGAGATGAGAGTTATAATATTCGAACCCAAAATTTGATCCGAGATTAATTTTAACATTTTAAATATATAAAAAATTTATTTTTAAATTAATTTATTTTAATTTTTGTCGAATTTATGGACAAAATAGGTTAGGGATAAAATTAATTTTGGGTAAAAAACTTAAAAATTTGGGTTCGATGGGTTTTTTTTAAAAGAAAAATCGAAAACTGGGGTCAGAGTGCAAATAAAATTTTTTTTACCACGTAGTACCGCTCAGTCAGTAACCCCGATGAACTAGAGTACACCCCATGGCAAGGCACGCTAACGTAGGTGCCACACGAGATGCCACGTGGGCGATCCGCGTGCCCCACGATCGAACGACCCAGGATCGATCCCGCGGGCGTGGACAACCTGAATTTGTTCCTCCTTTAAATGCGATCAGATGGTCAAGATCAAATTGCAATAAACGATTCAGATTCATTTTTTCGTTAAACGCGATCGGACAGTCGAGAACAAATGCAATGAACGACCTAGATTCGTTTCCTCCTTAGGCACGATCAAATAGTCAAGCTCAAACGCGATAAACGGTCTATATTAACGCGAGATGGGTACAAATATCTTGTATCACACTGAACCCAAACCCTAGCCGCCAGCCTCCCGTAGGATAATCAGTTGCTGGAGAAGGGAGCCAACCATCAACTGCTGCCGCACCGGAGCCACCTCCGACTGTCAAAAAGGTAAAATTCTCCTACCCGCCTCGAAATTCGATTCTGA